TGCTCAGGGACTGAACCCCACAATTCATTTAGCTAAGCAAGTTACAATCTTGATGAGCTAGTTACAAAATTCAATATAAGTCGTCACATCAACAATGATTCGAGATCGACCTCAAGTACAGGTTCTAAATTAAGCAACTGACATATGTGGAGAGCTAGTGTCACAATTTATATGTATCAAGTTCAAGTTCAAGTATGTTTATTGAGATAAGAAAGAAATACATCTCACAGGGATAGAGTAGCTTAGGCTCTTGCTACCCCTCTTGGTAGACCTTTGACACGCCGACATGTGCAGCTTCCTGCCCTTGTCGGTCATTTATGGGTCCTGTAACACAGTGATCTTCACCCTCGGTTCACAACCACAGAAACGTTTTCTTTCACCTGATGCCTCTCTTCACCTATAGTAGTAAAATAGACAGTGAGTTAGGGAATTGTTGTAGACAGCATCCTTGGGAAAGTCATTATATATAGTTGGGCTAAGGGGACATTGATAAGCCTATATATACGTAAGTACAGGCATTCCTGTCCCCAACGACCCGGCAATTAAAGAAAAGTGAATTTAATTAATTTGTTGTGTCATCATTACTCCTTCTCTCACCACGCTGATATTAACTGTTCTTAGTCATGCTTAGAAGCATAAATTAAAATGCATATTTTAAGTCTTTATCTGTATTGTTTCAGTGGATAATTTTGTATTAGTGATATTGAGGTCAATTAGGTGAGCACGCACGTGCGCGCGCACACACATATATGATAGAGCCCAATAGGCTCAGGAACCTGCACACCTGTTGATTGACAGTTGAGAGGCGGGACCAAAGAGCCAGAGCTTAACCCCCGCAAGCACAACTAGGTGAGTACAACTAGGTGAGTACACACAGACACACACTAAATCAAAACTAAATGGGTAGAACACCTAGAGAGAAATGATATAATATCAGACAGACAGTATGGTTTTCGATCTGGAAGATCCTGTGTATCGAATTTACTCAGTTTCTATGATCAAGCCACAGAGATATTACAGGAAAGAGATGGTTGGGTTGACTGCATCTATCTGGACCTAAAAAAGGCTTTCGACAGTTCCACATAAGAGGTTGTTCTGGAAACTGGAAAATATTGGAGGGGTGACAGGTAAGCTTCTATCATGGATGAAAAATTTTCTGACTGATAGAAAAATGAGGGCAGTAATCAGAGGCAATGTATCGGAATGGAGAAATGTCACAAGTGGAGTACCACAGGGTTCAGTTCTTGCACCAGTGATGTTTATTGTGTACATAAATGAACTACCAGTTGGTATACAGAATTATATGAACATGTTTGCTGATGATGCTAAGATAATAGGAAGGATAAGAAATTTAGATGATTGTCATGCCCTTCAAGAAGACCTGGACAAAATAAGTAGATGGAGCACCACTTGGCAAATGGAATTTAATGTTAATAAATGTCATGTTATGGAATGTGGAATAGGAGAACATAGACCCCACACAACCTATATATTATGTGAGAAATCTTTAAAGAATTCTGATAAAGAAAGAGATCTAGGGGTGGTTCTAGATAGAAAACTATCACCTGAGGACTACATAAAGAATATTGTGCAAGGAGCCTATGCTATGCTTTCTAACTTCAGAATTGCATTTAAATACATGGATGGCGATATACTAAAGAAATTGTTCATGACTTTTGTTAGGCCAAAGCTAGAATATGCAGCTGTTGTGTGGTGCCCATATCTTAAGAAGCACATCAACAAACTGGAAAAGGTGCAAAGACATGCTACTAAGTGGCTCCCAGAACTGAAGGGTAAGAGCTACGAGGAGAGGTTAGAAGCATTAAACACGCCAAAACTAGAAGACAGAAGAAAAAGAGGTGATATGATCACTACATACAATATAGTAACAGGAATTGATAAAATCGACAGGGAAGATTTCCTGAGACCTGGCACTTCAAGAACAAGAGGTCATAGATTTAAACTAGCTAAACACAGATGCCGAAGAAATATAAGAAAATTCACCTTCGCAAATAGAGTGGTAGACGGTTGGAACAAGTTAAGTGAGAAGGTGGTGGAGGCCAAGACCGTCAGTAGTTTCAAAGCGTTATATGACAAAGAGTGCTGGGAAGACGGGACACCACGAGCGTAGCTCTCATCCTGTAACTACACTTAGGCAATTACACTGATTACAGGGCCGGTGGCTGACTGGACAGCACGCTGGGCGCGTGATCCTGTGGTCCTGGGTTCGATTCCCGGCTCCGGCGAGAAACAATGGGCAGAGTTTCTTTCACCTTGATGCCCCCTATTACCTAGCAGTAAATAGGTACCTGGGAGTTAGTCAGCTGTCACGGGCTGCTTCCTGGGGGGGGGGGGGGGAAATAGTAACAGTTGAGAGGCGGGTCGAAAGAACAGAGCTCAACCCCTGCAAGCACAACTAGGAGAATACACACCACACACACACATTAGTTGGTGGCTGAGTGCACAGCGCTCGGGATTCGTTATCCTAGGGTCTGGGGATCGATCCCGGCGATGGCGGAAACAAATGGGCAGCGTTTCTTTCATCCTGATTATTCGAGTTTATTGATTGACAGTTGAGAGGCGGGCCGAAAGAGCCAGAGCTCAATCCCCGCAAGCACAACTAGGTGAATACACACACACACACACACACACACACACACACACACACACACACACACACACAACACACACACACTCAGATCATTTATGGTCACAGGCAGGGTTGATGCAAAAATTATGAAAAGAATCAAGACAGATGAAGATAGACAGAAACTACAGGATGACCTGGACAAACTGGAGGAATGGTCTAGAAAATGGCTACTAAGTTCAACTCAGGAAAATGTTAAGTAATGAAATTAAGAGAAGGGAGCAGAAGGCTGAACACAAGATACCATCTGGGAGATGAAATCCTGCAAGAATCAAATATAGAGAAAGATCTGGGGGTCGATATCACACCGAACCTGTCCCCCAGAAGCCCACATCAAAAGGATATCATCAGCGGCATATGGTAGATTGGCCAACATAAGAACTGCCTTTATAAACTTGTGTAAGGAATCGTTCAGGACCTTGTATACCACTTACGTCAGACCAATCCTGGAGTATGCAGCTCCAGCCTGGAATTCAAACGTAGTTAAACACAAAGCAAAGTTAGAAAAGATTCAGAGGTATGCCACCAGACTAGTAGTCCTAGAACTGAGAGGTATGCGCTACGAAACCCGTCCTCAGACCATTCCATCCAGCGGTCGACCCCAAAGATGCATTCATAAATTTTAACATGCTGTTCATTCAAAACAGGAATTTTCTCAAATATAAATTAATATTATTTAATATTACTCTATTGAACATATTTAGGCACTGGTTAAATGATACCCACCAAATACACCCGCCAAACCCCTGTTCTTGAATAAAAAACAGTTTACACACGACTCTCAATTGATGACGTTCGAACACTTCCGGAACAAGTGCTTCACTGACGAATTTTGTTGAAAGCACAACGATGTAAATGCTTCACCCACGTACTACAAATACAAATAATCACCAACAGAACCTAAACACCTAATCTAACCTATGCCTATATATGCACAATATGCTAATATATTATAATATTAATTTATATTTGAGAAAATTCCTGTTTTGAATGAACAGCGTGTTAAAAGAGATGAATGCGCCTTTGGGGTCGACCGCTGGATGGAATGGATTTGGGTCGAGGCAACCCGTCCTCGACTCAAGTCCATTAAATTACATCCAGTGGCCGACTCCACAGACGTATTCATAAATTTTTACATGCTGTTCATTCAAAACGAGAATTTTCTCAAATATAAATTAATATTATGAGACGAGAGCTACGCTCGGGATGTCCCGTCTTCCAAGAACTCTTAGTTGTATAATGCTTTGAACTTACTGACGGTTTTGGCCTCCACCATCTTCTCACCTAACTTGTTTCAACCGCCTACCCTCTGTTTGCGAAAGTGAATTTTCTTTAAATCTATGACCTCTTGTTCTTGAAGTTCTAGGTCTCAGGAATTTTTTCCTATCAATTTTATCGATTCCTGTTACAAATTTGTACGTACCGATCATATCGCATCCTTTTCTTTTAGCTTCTAGTTTTAGCATATTTAATGCCTCTAACCTCTCCTCGTAGCTCTTGTCCTACAGTTCTGGGTGACATTTAGTTGCATATATGTGTGAGGTACTGTGTAATGTGTGAGGTACTGTGTAGTGTGTAAGGTACTGTGTAGTGTGTGAGGTACTGTGTAATGTGTGTGAGGTACTGTGTAGTGTGTGAGGTACTGTGTAGTGTGTATGAGGTAGTGTGTGAGGTACTGTGTAGTGTGTGATGTACCGTGTAGTGTGTGATGTACTGTGTAGTGTGTGTGAGGTACTGTGTAGTGTGTGATGTACCGTGTAGTGTGTGAGGTACTGTGTAGTGTGTGTGTGAGGTACTGTGTAGTGTGTGTGTGAGGTACTATGTAGTGTGTGAGGTACTGTGTAGTGGATGTGAGGTACCGTGTAGTGTGTGAGGTACTGTGTAATGTGTGTGAGGTACTGTGTAGTGTGTGTGAGGTACCGTGTAGTGTGTGTGAGGTACTGTGTAGTGTGTGAGGTACTGTGTAATGTGTGTGAGGTACTGTGTAGTGTGTGTGATGTACCGTGTAGTGTGTGTGAGGTACTGTGTAGTGTGTGTGAGGCACTGTGTAGTGTGTGTGCGGAACTGTGTAGTGTGTGTTTGAGGTACTGTGTAGTGTGTGTGAGGTACCGTGTAGTGTGTGTGTGTGTGAGGTACCGTGTAGTGTGTGTGTGTGTGAGGTACTGTGTAGTGTGTGTGTGAGGTACCGTGTAGTGTGTGTGAGGTACTGTGTAGTGTGTGTGAGGTACTGTGTAGTGTGAGGTACAGTGTGTGAGGTACCGTGTAGGGCGTGAGGTACAGTGTAGGGCGTGAGGTACAGTGTAGGGCGTGAGGTACCGTGTGTGAGGTACAGTGTAGGGCGTGAGGTACCGTGTGTGAGGTACGGTGTGCGTGAAGGAGTGCGCAAGGCGAGGTGCAGCATGGCGGGCCAGCCAGCAGCCGCAGTATCATCATGGCTGTGAACAAGATGAGGTCGTTGGCGCTCCTCAGCCGCCACAACGCTGCTCTCTATAATGTCACCTCCAGGCCAAGGTAAATCCCTCATCCGCTTCGTATCCTCAATCTTCTCAATGTCTTATTCCCTTGTTAAACTCAAGATTTTGGCGGAGATAAGAGTTTGATGTAGCGGCCTTGGACCTGCCGGCGTCAACATTGATTACCTACAATACATCGGAGGACATGCAAGGTCATAACATCACTTCCACACCTAAATTCAACTAATTTTCCACGAAATAAATGTAAATTGTGTCCATGAAATAACCCATTATTGCCAAGATGGTAGTCACGGGGAGGTTTGGTCCAGTGGTATACTCTACTTGCATTTCGCGAAGTTCGTTTTCTAATTACATGTACTGTACTGTACTGTAGAGTATATATTGTTAGGGTGGGTGACGTAGGTGTTCAAATCTGATTACAAACAATTTTGGGTACGAAATGTTCAGTAAAATCGCTGTATGACGACAGCCGGTGCAGTCTCTGTGGCGCAGTGGTAACACTCGCCCGGCGCTTTCAGTGCTTTGGCCTGGGTTCGTATCCAGGCTATGGAGGATTGACCGGGTGCCAATCCTTAACCGTAGCCTCTGTTCACCCAGCTACGAATGGGTATCTGGCTGTTAAAAGATTTGACGGGTCGTATTCCTGGAAAAAAATTGGATTAAGGATTTGCCCAAAATGCTATGCGTGCTAATGGCTGTACAAGAATGTAAGAACTTGTATATATAAATAAAATTAAAAACTAAAGCCCCCCTCTCCCATGATACTGTTTATTGGATATAGATAAAATAACTTTGTATTGAAGATGGTTTGCTAAGAGTTTAAAACCTATTTTTATTTTTTTTTATTTGTTTATTTAGGTAAGGTACATACATACAAGAGATTTTACAAAGAGTGATAGATTTATAGATAGGGCTAGTACATACAATGCCTAAAGCCACTATTACACAAAGCGTTTCGGGCATGAAAAACTTGAATGACTAAAGCTTAATACTAATTGAGCATAAAGAGTAAAATGAAAACATGGAATGAAAACATAGCTGAAAAAGCAGCACAAATACAATTCTGTCGACAAACAGCGCTCTTTAAAAAAAAAATTGGTTGACAATAGAGAGGTAAGGTAGGTTTAACCTGATAGTTAAATACCTGATCAGGTATTTAACCTGATCCTGCCATAACACTTAAAAATTAACTTTGTTGAAACCAAGATATGTTTTAACCGAACCTAACCTTTTACAGACCTAACCTATACGTGTGTGAGGTTACATAAATAATTTTTAAGTTAAGAGATGTTTTCAACCATATTCTTTGGACATTCATCTATTCCTAAATGGTTGCACATTTTTGGAATGATACACGGGTTGACCCAACTGATATTTAAGTCAGATTCCAATATAATGTCAGACAACTGTTCTAACTACTAATTTTTTTTTTTTTTTTTATACTAGCAGTAGACAAATTTTAAATGGTTTTGGCCTCTTAGAGGTCCTGTACTCCCTTCTGAGCAGATATGTCACTTCATATCAGATATATTTAACAGATTTTTAAAACCTACTTTGCCTTTTATTTTTATTTATATATACAAGAGTTTTTACATTCTTGTACAGCCACTAGCACCCATAGCAATTCGGGCAAGTCTTTAATCCAAATATTCCCCAGAATACGACCTCCCAAATCGTTTAACATCCACGTATCCATTTTACTGTTGGGTAAAGAGGATACAGTTAAGGATTGACTCGCAGTAAATCTTTCCTGGCCAGAATACGAACCCAGGACAAAGTACTCACGAAACGTCAGGCGAGTGTCTTGCCACTACGCCACGGAAACTGCCCACCTAGTGATATTCTTATAACATTAACTTTTTTTTTTTTTTTATACACACGTATGTGTAATTTCAGCATGGGTGGTGGTAAAATGGTTAGTCATAAGGGGTTCAAAAAATGGATCAAATTGTTCTTAAAGCCCAGATATTTTGCATTTCTAATTTACTACTGACGTTTTAGTCTATCACAAATGTGATAGTTAAAGGGTAGTGATTGATCTAATTACAGTAGCCCGTTATAGTACACGGTCTTGCAAGTAGTAAAAGCTTAGTGTGTGCATTATTTACAATAGACAAACTTGCAATACAGTACTTTGTTAATGTCATAGGAGATAAAATACATTTCCTGAAACTTGTGCTAGTACAGCATAGTTTTCTATGCTCATATATTTTTTAATTTGACTATATAGTAACATAAAATACTGTAGTAATGTCTGTGTGCCAGGTTTATTAGTTCCATATGATGGGGTTCCTTTTTTATGTGCCGTGTTTCCGTAGATTGTTATACTTTAGGAATGTCGGATACTATATATATTTCTAGTGATGATCATGGCTTCTAATACATCCATCTACAAGAGCTTTGTCAGTTAATATTGATGTGTAAGACATGTCTTGAGTACAGAGGAACCTTGGTTACTGAATTTAATCCGTTCCGGCACCGAGCTTGTCATGTGAAACGCTCGTCTTGCGAAATGAATTTCCCCATTTAAAATAATGGAAATACAATTAATCCGTTCAACCCCTGAAAAACATCAATATGAAATTTTATAATGTAATTATAATACATGTAATTTTTATAAATGTTTTGTTTTACTGTTTTCAGTTGTACTTTACCTTTTAAGAGGAGTCGCTGCTGGCTTGAGGGAGACGATGGGGAGGAGAAAAGTTACTACATCGTGGGTTACAAATTGTAATAAAAAAAAAAAATGCAGAGGGATGCTTATTCTGCGCGATAAAATAACTGTCATCGGAGGTCTCGGAGAATTTGCGGGAACGCTAGGAAGTACCACATAGTTTTTTCGTTAACAGATCAGAATCTCGTCAATCTAGAAAAATTTTCTGAAAGTGGCTTGCTCATTACCTGAAATGCTCATAGATGGGGCTGCTCGTCGCACAAGGTTCCTCTGTACAGTAGCTTGTGGTGGTGCCATACCATACACAGATCTACCCAAGGTAGATGGATAAGGGTAAATTAATGCCCAAATGATATATAATATGTCAATTAATATGGATTGCAATAGTGTTTGTAGACTACTGGCATCTTGGAAGAATATTAAATTATTAATAAAGTACTTCAGTACTATATATGACATTATTTCGGTTCAAAATCTAGTTGGAAAAATCATCGGAAACAACTAGATGCTTTGACAAGCCGCCAGCTTCCCTGTGCCTATTGAGGCCAATAGAAATGGTGGCCTTCAGGGAAATGAGGGATAATTTGGCTTTGATTGAACTCAAATATGCTAATTGTTTGAATTAATATTAAACTGTGTTCTTTCAAACACTACAGTACTCTATTTAAAGTGTAAGTTCATGCCTTGAACAGTAGCAAAGGCAATTGCAATGCCAAGCTTTGGCTTATTTCTCATGCATACTTGTGTATAGTATTTTGAATGCATTTTTTGTAGGCATGTAAAGGTTTACAAAAGAGAAGTCTTTGTAGCCATTTCTTTATATTCTGGTTTTAAAAGTGCACTATAAAAGTTCATAGGGTTAACTGCTTGCCATAGATGAAAATGTCTGAATTTTACTTAGCATATTGGCCTTGGACAGTGTCCAATTTGTTAATAATTTGTATTTTATTAATATATAATTGGTATACTGTATGTAGTTCCTGGTGGAGTGGGGTGGAAATGGGCCCTCCTGATGCCATCCTTGGTGTGACAGAAGCCTTCAAGCGGGACACAAACCCTAAGAAGATTAACCTTGGTGTGGGTGCTTATCGTGATGATAATGGCAAACCATTTGTGCTGCCCTCTGTTAGGAAGGTCAGTGGGTGTAATGTGAACATTTTTAGTGCATGCTTTAATAATGATAATAAAAAGTTAGGAAAGTTTTAAAGAATTAGCACTCGGGAAGTTGCAGTTTGGGGAAAGGTGGGGAGGAGGGGTGGAGGTAGTTATTGTCAAAAGTACGAAATGCTTCTTTCTGGGAGCCTTTCGGTGACTTTCCTACCATAGTTTCTTTACTAGTACCCCAGTGCCAATACCATCTCAGTCTACAGGTAGTAGACCAGAATGAGGCAGGGAAGCTGTTAGTAAATCATGTTGGAGGGGGGGGGTAAAGTAAGGCACCAGATAAGAGGATATAACCACCACCATAATAAAGGGAACCAGGAGAGTGGGGTTGGGAGTGCTGGGTTAGAACACTTGGTTTGACTAGTCCTGCCATTAAGTAGAGGATGTAATTTATACTTTTTTTTTTTATCAAGCATTTGTTCATCATACCAAATATTTGTTTTTGTAACCCTCTTTCAGTCTTTGGTAGGTTTTCCCTTAGTGAGTGGTTCCTCTATCCCCACCTCTGAGGGGTTGGCATGATTCTAGTTGTTGCTTCCAGTAGGTTGCCTGATTGTAATACTGTATATGCTAGGGTGCCAGGGGACTCTTCATTGGCACTGTTAACCAGAGAGCTGAATGCAATGGAGGCATTTTTTTTTTATACCCTTAAACTGTGCAAAATATGCGTGTGTGATATTGAAGGGGGGTATAATTCGGAAAATATTCAAATTGTGAAAAAATTACTTAAGAATGTTAAACAAACCTCCCAACTTATTTGCTTCAGCTTTGTGAAACTTTCATCAAAATATTTTCAGAAATTTGATTTTAGACGAATATTAAAAAAAAAAAAAAAGTTTTGTTGATAAAGAGAACGGCTCCTATTAACTGGAACAATAATAGAGATGCAAGCACCTGTCCGACGCACAAAGAATAATAATAGCAAGAAGTGTCCACAAAGTGGATATACAGCTGGTGCCTTTATAGCATTGGTGAGTAATACATAACACAAATAATGAGCGTGAATGTTATGCTCTTATTTTGTTATACATCATATACAGTAAATTCATTGGGCAATGTTATCAGTTACTTTAAACAATGTCCAAAAAATATTTTGTTTATGGGAATTTGTTTAAGGTTTTTAAGTGTTTTTTCCTCCTTTGTTTATAATTTGAATTTGTTTTAACCTTTACATCCTGGAGAATTCATACTTGTCCCTAACTATCTGAAGCCAGAATTAAATTGGTCAGCAAATAAATCGGTTACAACTCTCAGAACTTGGGACTTTGAATTTTTTTGGGCTGATTTTTTCAGATTTAAAAATCTATTTTCCTTGTTTCTTTAGGTTGTTTTGATGATTAGGGACCAGATTAGGACTTTTTTTTTTACTTTATAAAGTATACCCTAAATATATTCACTAAATCATTATAATTATTAACCCTATACAGTGCAGTAATTTTTTTTTTTTTGGGGGGGGGGGCTATTTTTTCTTGACTTCATTTCTACACACATTTACCTACAACTTTCACATTGTTTGGCATTCGTACTCAAGTACAATGTTTATTACAACATACAAGTAAATTTGTGAATTAGAACTGCCTTATTCATTGTCGATAACTTCAACTTCAATTATATCTATAACTAGAATTTCAATTTAATTCAGTATCCTAAAATGTAGTTTCTGACCAATTCTCACCATTTTTACATATAGTATGCACAGCTGTCTGTTCTACAATCCCCTATAGATTTGATTTTTCATAAACTAAACGTTTGGAGTTAATTTTTGCAGTCAAAATTTGTGCATATTTCAAATGCCATATTAAAATATTTTTATAGTGAACTACTGTATACTGAAAACCTATATTCTAAATGTATGAAGATGAAGATCATATGCTATTCTGAGAGCATAACAACAACAACAAATGAATAGTTGGTGATACTAAGTATTTTTATATTTTTGCAGCTGATTTCAAAATCTGAAGTTTTCAATATTCAATTCTATAATTATTTTTTATTCTTGTTTTTCAAGTTACACTGGTATCATTTAAGACAAAGTTGGAGCATTTGCCTAGTAGATTATTCACAAAACATTTGAAAGTTTCAGAAAATTTAAAAAACAGAGTTCAATGTCACACATTATATGAGGATTTGCGCAGTTTAAGGGTTAATATAAAGTTCTTGCATTCTTGTACAGCCATTAGCACATAAAACTTTTTGGGCAAGTCCTTGATCCTAATTTTCATACATGCACATTCCCAGGAAGCAGCCCATAGCATCTAACTCCTAGGTACCTATTTACTGCCAGGTGAACAGTGGCATCAGGGCGAAAAAACTGCGCATTTGTTTCCACATCCTCCGGGGATCGAACCTGGATCCTTAGGACTACGAACCCCGAGTGCTGTTCACTTGGCCATTAGGCCTCCACTATAATACATAATATAATACAGTAGGTTACAAGAAGTTAATTGAAGACTGTTAGTGGAGCAAGTGCATACATTCACTGGACAGGAATTTGGAGCTGAAAATATTAAACTATTGGTTAGCTAGCCAGCTTGCAAAGTAGTTTATCTTGGTACTGTACAGTATTAATTTGTGTAGAAAAGCTCTGTTAGCAGAAATAAGAATTGTATTAGTATATTGAAAATTGGCAAATTTTGGCTGTAGCAGTTGGTTACTGCAGAAAGTTAATGGCTAAAGTTTGACGAATTTGAGTATTAGAACATGGGATAGTATTCAAGTTTTGATTTTCAGCATCAGTGTAATAGACTAATTTGACCAAAATTGGGTTGGTTGAGCCACAGGATTTGTGGAGGGGGGGTGTAATTGTGGTTAAGGTGCCTGTCTACATTAGTGCAAATTTGCTATATATAGCAGAAGTTTGGTTGATAATGTGAATGTGCATAATAAATATCTGCCTTAAGCTTGTTTGTTAAAAAAAAAAAAAGTTACTAATGAATAACTTATTATTCACTTATTTTATATGCACTATTAGTCTACCAATATGATAATTGTATTTTTTCTTGTGGCAGTGTACTTGATATAAGGTTGTCACCAAGCTTGAGCAGTGTTTGTAATGGCTGTTGAATTCCAAGACAAAGGTAATTCTGCTTAGAGACCGCTTAGTCTGCTTAGTACATGCCTGAGTTGTACACATTCAAGAGGGTGAAAAGGCAACACACTTTTAAGGAAAATATAATAAAAACTGCAGTTACAGTATTGGTGACACTTAAGGTTTGCTGTATTCTTCCGAAACAGGCAGTGCTATTTTGTTAATGTTGTTGCCGCCGTAGGCGGCTAGTTTATTGTGCACCTCATACCCATCCTGTGAGCGGTAGCGCAAAAAGCATTACAGATGGCACAAAAGGTCTTTATCAGACCTCGTCTTAGATTATCACATAAACAATTTCATCTGTCCTTCACACCTTAGTTACAATGTCAGCTAGTTAGAGAAAGTGCTATTTAAAGAGCTATATATTTACAGTAAAACTATTTTGTTCACAACCAAAAGATCCTGGGTTTGAGTCCTGCAGCCAAATGGACATTTGTGCATGATTCCTTTGGCCTGATGTCTTGGTTCACCTACCAGGGAGGGAGCCCTGGTAGGTGTTTAGGTTCACTTAGGTTCACTTAGGTTCACCTACCTAAGGGAGCCGAGCGGACAGCACGCTGGACTTGTGATCCTGTGGTCCTGGGTTCGATCCCAGGTGCCGGCGAGAAACAATGGGCAGAGTTTCTTTCACTCTATGCCCCTGTTACCTAGCAGTAAAATAGGTACCTGGGTGTTAGTCAGCTGTCACAGGCTGCTTCCTGGGGGTGGAGGCCTGGTCGAGGACCGGGCCACGGGGACACTAAAAAGCCCCGAAATCATCTCAAGATAACCTCTCAAGATAACCAGTAAATGGGTACCTGGGAATTGGGTAACTGTCATGGGTTGCATCCTGAGAAGGCTGGTAATTGGCCATGGGGGACGTAAACTAACCTATTAGGTTTCCTTCCCCGACTTATTCTGGGAAATTCATCATCTTGAATGCCTCGTTGTGGCATCTTAAATAATTGAAATATTTTAAAAAAGGGAGGGGGGGGGGGAACATATAAAATTTAACAATACCTTTGGCCATTCCTCTTGCTGCTCCTGTGAGAGTTTATATTTTAAAATGTATACTTTATGTACAGAAGTGGTATTTTCTTGAGCATAACTGGACTGTTTTCAAAATATTGTTTGTATTGAGGCCTACCATAAGATCTGGTAATACCAGTCTTCATTGGCTATGGTTGAAATACAATATATTTTGTAAATCACATTTGTTATTAATCTTATTTAATATCAATGTACAGTATATTCCTATTTTGTGTAATTTGGCAAAAAAACTAATTATAGCTCTACCACTGCTGGATATAATGAATGTCAATAAAGGGTCTAGTCCCAATTTAGAACATTAAGTTGACTGTAGCATATTGAGGATAATCTAAAATTAAGATGAATAAGACACATAACAAAGTGTGGTAAATGATAAGGTGACTAATTCTAACTTCATTATTTCAGGCTGAGGAGCTGCTTATTAGCCAGAAACTGGACAAAGAGTATTTGCCTATTTCTGGCAATGCAGACTTTTGTAAGAAGGCAATTGGTCTTGCTATTGGTGAAGACAACCCTGTGATTGCTGATGGATTGGCAAGTTACATATTTACTTTCGTCAGGAATGTTTTTGCACACTGACTTTTTTTATATCAAATATATGTAATCAAATTTGTTGTAGAACATTTTGTTCTTTGCTGTATTTTTAATTTGATAGTGTTTACACTCTGTTTTAAGTTTTAATTATTAAGGCATCTTTTAAACTTTTAAAGGAATTGCTTAGGCATTTAAAGAAGGTCCTTATTCATGTTGGAGAGGTGGTTTCAATATCAGTGCAAACAGTTGCACATTACTTTACCATGTGGTTGATTTTTTACATTAATTCGGATATAAATGGCTGCATGTTTTTTTTACTTGTGCTTCAAAAGTGCAGATTCCAGTATTGGTCTAGCAAAGTCTGTTGATTTCCTAAAGATCCACTTTTAGGTTTCTAAATGCTCTAATGTTTGCCAGTGTTCTATATGCTGCTAATGTTGTTAGCATATGTTATGTGTACCTCTTAATATGTAATTATATCCAATCCAAAGTCCTTCTCTACACTTTGTTATAGCTACCTCTCTTCTTTCTCCCTTTACCATCTTCATTACTTTACATTTGTTGGGATTGAAATTTAGCATTAACTTTGCCCACCCTAATGGAAACTCGCACAAAGGACTACCATGAGGGGTGAAATATGGATCTCGGAGTACAATCTTTTCAAATGCGACAGGAAACACCGGCTACAGGGTGGGGTCAGCCTCTACATCAAAGACACTCATCTGTACTGAACTGCTTAACACCACAAATGATATGGTGGAAGTGCTGATAATCAAAAATAGAGATCCTGAATGTAGTTATTGTCCTTGTATATGTCACCGGAGGCAAACCCTCAGCAGTTTAATTTGAAGACCAACTAATGAAAATAGAACACTGCTTGGAAAAACCTCACAAATCCAGCCCCGATCATCATCCTGCTTGGGGACTTCAACCTACGGCACCTGAAATGGAAGTACTGTACCTGGCTAATACAGTAATATCAGAAAGAATGCCAGGAAGTAGCCCAAATCAATAGGCACATGCAAATGACCTGCTCCGGATGTATGACAGGTTTGCCTTAAATCAGCAAATAGTAGAACCAACTAGAAAGGAGAACATGCTGGACCTCATTTTCACCAACAATGATGAATTGATCAGGAACATAATGATTACAAATACCTATTACTCAGATCACAACTTAATTGAAGTTCTGACAAGCATGGGGAATAAACCTTCAAAACCAGGCCCGATTCCCGGTGGAGGAGATTTCAGCAAATTCAACTTCAATAATAAACAGATAAACTGGGAGCATATAAACCAAGACTTCACAGAAATAAACTGGGAAGAACAGCGAGAAAATGTAAACCTGACCCAGTGCCTGGAAAAAATCATTTCGATAGCACTAGAAATATGTTCAAACTTCATACCCCTAAGAAAAGAGGGAGATGCAGATTAACTCTTCCATTAACTGCAACCTAGTTATTTTGTATTTATAAATATATTCCTATTTTGAACACTTAAGGCCTGGTATTATTAGGAGTCCACACAAGTTTTTGATTAAATAAGAATTCCCTCGCTGCATTGTTAATGCTGACTTTAAATTATTATTTCTTTGCTTTAAGGTGTATTGTAACTTTTTTTTTTTTTTTTTTTTTTTTGTTTCTAGAATGTGACTGTTCAAGGAATTTCTGGTACCGGTGCTCTGCGAATTGGCTCTACTTTCTTATCCAAGTTTTTCCCAGGCCCAAAGGTAAATCACGCTTCCAGACTTTGAAGAAATGCCGTCATGTACTATTTGGAAAAGCAATAAATTTAATTCCCAATAATGCATTGATTCATAAAAATTTAACAAAACTAAAGGGAATGAAATACATAATGTTAATTTTGTATATGCTAATAAAATGTTAAGTCCTACTAAAAATGAGCTGGGAAAGCACTAGTACAACTCAGTGTGTGTAGTATTTTTCTCTAATAAAAATTTGATTACCTAGACAGTTAAATCAAAATAGCATGTAAAACTTTTCCTCCAATTTTTAATGTCCTGGTTAGGCACAAGGTTAATAGGGTTTTAAGAGTAGATATTGTATGAAAATCTGTTAATGCTTCATAAAACACAGGTTGTATGGTTGCCAGCACCAACGTGGGGTAACCATGTACCCATCTTCAAGCACGTTAACATGGAAGTCCAGCAGTACAGATATTATGACCCAAAAACTTGTGGCTTCAACTTTTCTGGAGCCCTGGAAGATATTTCGGTTGGTAATGGGCCTTTTTAACTTTCGGTATTCTTTCCAGACAAGTAATTGTGGTGAAAATAAATCATTCGGTGAATAGTGAAAAGATTTTAATAAGAGAATAGTATTACAGGGTCTTTTATGATGTATAAACCAGTATAGGTATTGGATCTCCTTGAAAGGATTCATTCTGAAAAATTATATAGTTTATTTTACAAATTTTGTGAATGACAAACTGTTTGCATCATTTTCAGAAAATTCCTGAAGGGAGCTTGATAATGCTTCATGCCTGTGCTCATAATCCAACTGGTGTAGACCCCAAACAAGAACAATGGGACGAGTTGAGCAAAGTTGTCAAGAGCAAGAAACTTCTACCATTCTTTGATATGGCTTATCAGGTTAGTTGTCCGATGTTTGTATTGATAAATACTGATACTTTCCTAATGTATAAATTCAGGTTCTCCACAAACTGACATGACACAAGTATATAGATATCTTAATGATTTGAAGGGTAAACGTGCAAAGCTATGCTGGCATGTGACATGGGGGTACCAACTGAATGAAACTGCATCATTAAAATTAAACTAGTACAGTTTAACCCTTAAACTGCACAACACGTCACATGACGTGTTGAGTAACTTGCCCAAAAGTGCACATCATGTCAGGTGACATGTTGGAGTACTAAGCAAGATTTAAATGGCCCGCGGATACACAGGGTTCACTTCATCTTCATCAGGTCTCTTGTAAACAGACACCATTTTTTTTTAAATATTGTGGGCCTCGTTCCCGGGTGTGAGGTCCTCAGTACTAGTGTAGATACAAAATCCTTATCCTGATCCCTTCCCAGTACTATACTGTATAGTCATAACGGCATGGTGATTTCTCCTGATAGTTCCCTTCCCTACAGCGTGGATAGATGATAGTACTGTCGTCTATCTACACTGCAAATACAACTTTCACTCCTTCAAAATGACCACTGCTTTAATTAATATACAGTACTGTTCTTTCTGAGAGTTAATATAAAAGGGGAGATGTTCACAGATTCCATATTTCCTATCACTTCTCATATGATACTCTTGTCAGGGTAGTTCAATGTAACACATTTCTTTGGCACAGTAACATCATTGGTGCTGTTCATGCAAGGGTTGTGACTGGGGAACACATAAGGGAATATATTGGAGTGGGACTCCTTTCTTGGATATAAATGTAGGGAGTATGTCCACCGATTCAGGAAGCATCTTTAATAAAATTTTAAAGATCCTAGGTTTTTAAATTTTACTGAAGTTCCTAGCTCCTAGGAACTTGCTCCCTACAGTAAATTATAAGAAAGTGTATTCTACTTACAAACTAATAAGTAAAAACTATATATGCAGGCCTCTAAATAAATAATCCATATTACAGGGCTTTGCATCTGGTGATGTAACTAAGGATGCTTATGCTGTACGGAAATTCTTGGCAGATGGTCACAAAATCTGCCTTGCCCAATCCTTCTCAAAGAACATGGGACTGTATGGTATGTACTTAATGATTACTTTTACTTACAAAGAAATTACACAATAAAATCCCTGCTGGAACTAAAGATGCCATTGACTTGAAAGTAGGTTAGCTTGGTAAGTAATGGAGCATTAGGGACAGCTGTCTTAAGGATATTTTCGACTAATGGGGCCCTTAAGGGGGTGCACAATTTTTCTACAATAACACTTACTTGGCAACCTACCTGGTAGACTTTGACAATACAAATGCCTATGAAAAGCTCTGCTACACTTTGCAAAAAGTTGGATTTCCTCCAAATGCATATATAAATCTTAGCAATAGCTTTAAAGTCTCACAAGAGTATAACTTAAATTATATTGATATAAAAACTGTAATTGAAGGAGAAACCTAATAGCAATTTTAATAATGGCATATAAGAGTTTTATAAGTGGCTACCCTTAACTTTATTCGTAAATTAGACACTAATTTCATATTGCAGTAGTGTGAATTTGAATCCGAAATTTTGAAGCTAAAAGGTATTTGTTCATACCCTAAAGACTTACCCAAAGTAGATAGTTTTGGTAAAATATTTTAAATGCCTTGTCTTGTTGAGCTTCAATAATGTTAACAGTGATTTTTTTTTATTGGAGTGTAGGCCATTAGCAATTATTTTTCACTTGCTTTTGTAAGAATATTGCAACTTGTTAGGGATAGGCCTATAACTTTATAATTGGGATAATAAACCTTATTAATGGCCCCCCCCCCACATCCTTGCCACACTTATGCTTGCACCTTTTTTCAATGTTTATGGGCTAAGTTTTAAAATGAATGTATATTATATTAATATACATTCTATAATTAAATATTAAAATGACACTTCACCTGATATTATATAAAAGTTTTACATGTTGAGATCTATTTTTTGGGTAAATTATTGGAACAAGTTAGCTTATTCAGTACATTTTTCCCCCAAAACGTGGTCCCCCCCCCCCCCCCCCCCCAGTATAAAAAATCAAATGATGAAAACCATTTCCCCCTCATCCCACATGCATGTGGATGAGGGTTGTTATAAATAATTTTTTTGTAAATAAAAATGTAAAACACATACTGTACTAAATGCAAAAGTGTACCTGGCTAGGGACCAAAGAGTTCCTATTTCAATCGGGTTTTATTGAAACTTGTCTTCATTAACTCACTTGTACCATGAATATATAGTACTAAGAGTTGCTTATATTCATGCACTGCTAGAGGGGTGACAGGCAGGAAATGGAAATTTTTGCTGTAAAAAAAAAAATAATTGGTCTTAAATATAGGTGAGCGAGCTGGTGCATTCTCAATTGTGTGCAGCAGCAAGGATGAGGCGGCACGCGTTCTGTCACAGGTGAAGATCTTGATTCGTCCTCTGTACTCAAACCCACCACTTCATGGTTCTCGCATTGTCACTACTATTCTGAGCAACCCAGAATTGCAGTAAGTACTGTATTATGGTTTTAATAAAGAAAATGTACTTTAGTATGAAATGAGCAAGCAATGTATACACTTCTAATAGTATGTTCAAGATTTGGTATTTTCAGTAATTTAATTGTAAATTTCAGTAGGTGGAATTGATTTGTTAAAAGGTAAAAGATTTCATCAATACATTTTCTACATATTTACCATTGCAGAAGATTTAATGTTTATTTCTTTAGTGCACTTCACAATTGTTTATGCTCCCCATCTTGGATGTCCTTAGAGTAGTTTGCCCTGTCAGGATTACCTTTCCTTGTGTTATTTCCCATTTCCTCAAAAGTTTTTTTCTGGGACTTCTTACCTAGAGATTTGTGTGTTTGGGTAATGCTTGAGACATTAATCTTATGCCAGACGTGTTATAGAATTTACTAGTTCAACTGTTTAAAAATTATAATGCACTTGGTTATGCTCTGCTCCCATAAATGTTCAAGTGTGCTTTGACCATTTGAGAATTTGGATATTCATTAATAGCTTGTATGACCTGTTCCTATCAGGTTCAGATGGCTTGTTGGTAGTTTTGCAATTGCTCCACCAACCTGAGAAGGTGACTCCTTGCATTTTTACAACCTTCCCAAATTGTTACTGGACCAGGGGTTTGGTATAATTATCCATAATCTGCTAATCACAGGAGGGGGTAACAAGGGATCCAAATGGCTTTGGCCTTTCTAATTCCTAAGGTATTGGCACTGGATACTCTTCAGTGAACATCTTCAAGTGGTAGTGATGGCAAGTTTGGAAAGTACTCAATGATTCATTCTTTAGCTTGTAGCATGAACCAGAGGCTTTGATTTTTCTGCTTGAATTACCTTACCACTGATTAACTGTAATATGCCAATTCAAATTTTCTCCTTGGCTTAGTCGACAGGACCCAGTTATCAGCTGTTCTTGCCATTTTTGTGTACCACTGCACTTCTCTCCTATACCACACACCTGCCTTTGTTTACCCCACATTTTATAATCTTTGAACAAGGAAAAAATTCAATTTTTTTTATATGTACAGCATTGCACTTTTCTCTGAAAATTTGTGAAAAAAAAAAATCATGGGTTTCAGTGCTATATGGCTGAAGGATGTGAAGGGAATGGCTGACAGAATCATAACCATGCGCAGTCAACTAAAACATTTCCTTGCCAAAGAGGGCTCTGTACGGGACTGGACCCATATTACAGACCAGATTGGCATGTTCTGCTTCACTGGCATGACACCTGATCAGGTAAGTGTGTATAAATAATTATATAAAAAAATTAACTAAAAATGGCAATAAAGATTTGCAAAATCAAATAACACAATCAAATTGATTTCTAAATGTGTTGCTGAATTTCATATTATAAATGATATTTACATATTCGCAGGTTGAAAAGCTGACAAAGGAGTATTCTGTGTATTTGACCAAAGATGGCCGCATATCTGTGGCTGGTATGGCATCCGGTAATGTTGAGTATCTAGCTCATGCAATGCATCAAGTTACAAAGTAATACCCATGGCAACTTTAAATTATTTAAATAAACTTTTATGTAAAGGAAAATATAAATTAATGAAGAGTGGCTTGCAATTATTTGAATTGATAAAACATAATGCAAGATTATTTCACAACATTGTCTCTTGTCTGTCCCAGTTAAGTTAGAGGCAACTTTTGGCCTTTCAGTTCCAAAAATTACTAATTTGTCTTTTATTTAGTCACTTTTCATATTTAAATTTCAAAGTTATATACTGTATGTATGAAGCTCGAGCAGCTATGAATTGAGTCCTTAATGATCATGTGGTACTGAAAACTGACATCCTTGAGCTGGATATTGTAATTAAATTAGTTTGTATTCATGTATAGAGATATATCCTGTATGTAAAAATGACAAGACAGCAGAACTTTATATATCAAATATGTCGACACTTGACCAAAGCATTCTCAACTTCTTGGTACACTAGTGAAGTTAATTTTTATCATTATTTAAAGTCAAATTTTCATAATTTGAAAGAGAATTCCTGGATAGTTTTTCATTTACATAAAATATAAAATTCATAATTAATGTATATATAATTATTACTATTGATTAATGTCTTTAATTAAAAAAAATGCTTTACTGAAGTTTAATTTAGCCTTGCCAATCCTAATACAATATTAAGATTGCTAGCTAGGAACTGGTATAGAATTAAATGTCTGTTAGCTTCAACCTTGCCAATATACCTCTTTACTAACTAGTAGTGTCTTCTTTGCTAAAGTGTGTAGGATTTGAAAGCAGCATTGACTTTGTCACTTGTGTGTTTACTGTATGTCAAAACCTAACCCAAATTCCAAACGGTGAGTTAGAGTGGGGACACTTGCTGTTTCCAGGTTGTCTAGGGCTCTGCTTAACTCTTTCTATGCCAACAAATGGTACCCAGTTTTGGAAGTACCAACAGGCATTTGCATGTGTGTTTGCACAAAACACTCAAAATGCAAATCATACACAGACCATTTCCTGACCATACACACAGCTGCATTTCCAGTGATACATAAAACAATCCAACCCAGCCTAGAGTACATAAAAAAACACCAAACCCCCCAAAACTTTCGCACACCTCAAAAGAAACCCCATCTACACTACACCAGAGAGTAGCAGAAGGTTTGCCCTCTGCAATATGGTATCTTCAGGCCACCAAATTAGAAAGATTAAATATCCGATAAGGAATCCACATGGAAATAGCAGTTCGGTTATATAGACTATGTTTAAGTTACAGATGCAACTGGGAGATTGGTGAGCAGACAGAGGGAATGCATCTTCTGCCAAACAATCGCAGAAAATCCACTACTTCACTATCTCCTGGAATGTGAAGCAACCAATGCCTTAGAAGAGCTTTAAGAGTACCTGAATCTTGCAGTAACAACCCTGAAGCCATCAGGGTGGGTTACTGTTAAAAAAAAAAAAAAAAAAAAAAAAAAAAAAAACTTATGGGCTATTCGTGCCCATGCCACCTCTTGGGTGGCTTAACCCTCAAACTGCCCAATACATACCAGTATATAGCTGGGGTGAGTAACTGTCGTGGAACTGCGCACAATAGCTATGTATGGTTGGGAGTACTTGCCACTTTAGATTTAAGTCACACGGCTACATAGTTCACATCAGCTTCCTTAAGTCTCTTGTAAACAGATGCCATTTAAAAAAAAAAAATAGTGGGCTACATTCCTGGGTGTGAGAGCCTCAGTCTGAGTGAGCAACCAAGGCTGGCACATGTAGAATGAACTAACAGCACTGCTGTTCAGCTTGTGACCACAGCATCGCCTAAAAGATGTCAAAATATATATGTAACTGGTATTATTTAGCGATGATAGTATTAAAGACCCCTGACTGATAAAAATTGCCAGGATTCTGATAGTAGCAGGAGTGTTGTGATAATTAGCACCGTGCATAGTATGGTGGAAGGAGGTGTTGTCTGCTGACTGTGTGGCCACCTGTTATTGTCTGGAATATGGCAAACACAGATGTAAATACTTATTACACTAATACACATGTTATATATATATATATATATAACAGCAAAAAGAGTATGTTGGGAGGAGCCATTTTGGTGGTGGTTTCGTCTACATGACTTATCATGCTGTGTAGAGGGTGGCCACTATGCTGTTTGGGCACCATACCAGCTTAGTTGTAGTTTTGGTGAATAAATGATGCAGATACTTATATATAATATGTGTATACAGTGTAATAATACCACAAACAGAATGGTTGGAGGAGGAATGTTAGTGCTTCTGGTTTTGAATGAGTGAGGGAGGGAGATAGTATCAACAGATTCTGTGTGGCGACCTCTGTTATTGTCTGAACTCACGATACAAGCTTAGTTGTACAGTTATGGTGAACAAAATATGTAAATATTTATGTCTGTATATAGTGAATAAAGGCAAAAACAGTATGGTGGAAGGAGGAATGTTGAGGGAGTGGTAGCGTTGGCTGACTGTGTGGCGGTCACTCCTCGTTGTTTTGACTCACCATACCAACTTAGTGGTTCGTTATGGTAAACAAAACTTGCGGATACTTATATATAACCTGTGTATATAGTGTAATAACAAAACTATTTGTTTATTGTTTTATGAACATAATTGAATCACTAATATGCACACCATACTTTTGAACATAGCAATGATTCACACATTTTATTATATATCACACTACACACTATTGAATAATATTACTGCAAAAAACTAAGACAAAAATAAATCAGACATTGAAATAATTAAGTAATAATACTGTATCTTTGTGTCGACTCCCGCCTGACAGCTCCGGCGAAGCTGACCCCCTCTGACAATTACTCTGTCAATGCTTCAATTTTGCCAGACTTCCTTGCCCTATACTGTATATGTCACCTACAATTCCCCCTCCTCCTCCCCATAGTCAGGGGACACAAATGAACACTTTTATAAGAAAATAATTTTTGTGTTTCTTGCACATGAGCGTGTTGCAGGCTATAATTGCAAGAGCAGCCCAGGGGTTAATCTTCATCCATCAATCAATAAGAGGAAAATGAAAGAAAAAATGGGTAGGCTTATGTTGTCACATTTGTTAGAAAGGTTAGAGCATTTGAGTATGTACTGTGAAAGAGAAGGGTCAACAGCAACAAAGCCAGGACTAAGGTTCATGTTGGGCGTGTTATGTATCAAAGCCGATTCGACAAGATGGCACCTGAAGAGTAGAGGCAGGAAAGTATTTTAGAAGACCAATCAATAATCGTCGTCATCTCATCTTGTAGTGTGTGGTTTAGGCAAGTAATGAAATTGTCTAAAGTGCTGATAAATTATGTATTCTTAATACTGTTATATATTAGCCTACTGTGCATATTTAGGCACAGGCTAGATGTTTAGGTTCTGTTGATTATTTGTATTTGTAGTACGTGGGGTGAAGAATTTACAGCGTTGTGGTTCGAACAAAAGTCGTCAGCAAAGCACCTTATCGAGAAGTGTTCGAACATCATCAGTTGAGAATCCAGCCCATCCTCATAAACAAAGGACAAAGTCCATTCCAAGCACCTGCCAAACTCCCTGTGCATGAATAAAAAACTGCTTGCACACGACTCGACTGATGACATCCGAACACTTCCTGAATAAGTTCTTTGCTGACAACTTGTTTGAACCACAATGCTGTAAATGCTTCACCCACATACTACAAATAATCGTCAATACAATGTAAAAACCTAACCAATACCTAAATATACACAGTATGCTAATACAGTATATAACTTAATTTATGTTTGAAAAAATTTCAATTTTGAACGAACAGCATGTTAAAATGGGTTAATGTGTTTTTGGGGTCAACCGCTGGATGGAATGAATTTGGTCCGAGGACAGGCTACAACTGGTCAGGAAAATAGGGTGAAATTTCCTGTGCTGGGTTTCTTGAACATCATGCCAAGTCATGGACAGACCCAGCTTCTAGATATGGTTAGATTCATCAATACTTATGATGAATCAACAACGTAATCATTGTAGCAGGACTGAAGCTGCATGCACAAGTCCAAAGGCGAGATTCAGTATGGAATTACTGGGTAAGAAAGTCAGGAGGGAGGAGAACCATCAGGAGGGGAGGAGAACCAGGGTGAGGTCTGGTCGGAGACTAGGCTGTGGGGGTCATTGATCCCCGGAAGCAAGCTACACAAGGTATGGTTGATAGCAAAGTGTGAATTAAACTTGGTTGGAACCATGAACATCAGGAACAAATCTGGCCACAAACTTGGGTATTGTCTCCTATACAGAAACAAGGAGTGTAAAAATTTATTAGACACTTAAGATGTTTAAGCGACCCGGTGGCAGAGAGAATTTTTCAAAATATGAAAAAGTGAAATTTTTTACACAAATCTCCAGTTATATGGCATCAGTCGTGAAAATTTTATCCCAATATGTTTGGAAATGGACTTTTTAAAAAAAAATTTAAACATAAATGCGTGCGGCAACAAGTACTGATAATAACGATAACACTTCCTATATACCAGCAATCAGCGATAAAAAGATGCAAGCACGTGTCCGATGCACAAATAAGAATAGTAGTAGTAAGGAGGGTCCACAAGATGGATATATAGCTGGTGCCACCTGGAGGGCAAGATTTCACATATAATAATGAGTTAGTATGGTATTATGTTGTATTTTATTATATATCATATAAATACATTACCCAATGACAATATATTTATATATCATATAAATACATTACCCAATGACAATATTTCTTATGTCCCTTTGTACGAAAAGCTGACTTTTTTTTTTATCTTTTGTTGTAACTTCTACATCTTGGAGAATGCATATCTGGCACCAAGCATCTAAAGTTGGAACGAAATTGGTCATCGGGTTGATCAGCCACAGATGGCAAAAGTTGTGACTTATTTTTTGGGGGCCCGATTTATTTACAGATTTTAAATTACTCTCTTCGTCTCTTTAGGTTGTATTGATAAATGCGAACCAAATGAGGGCCTTATCACCTATATATGGGCAATAAGTTACTGAAATATGTTTGTTATCCCTAACCTATCCCTATATTTTTTTTTGGAAGGGGGGGGGGTTATTTTCTTCTTGACTTTATTTCAAAACATATTGACTTACAACTTTCACATTTTCAAATACGAATGTCAAGCAATCTTGATTAAAACTTGCAAGATATTTCATAAATTAGAAGTACTATATTCATTGTTGAGAACTTTAACTTCATTTTTCTCTATGAACAAAATGTTCAACTTTGAGACACTGTCAAATATTCAGTTTCTGACCAATTCTCACTATTTTTAAGATACTATGTGTAACATTCTTAATTCTAAAGGGTTCATGTTGTCGTTAAGTCATAAAGGCAAAACATTTGGAGTTATACATTTTTTGCATTTAAATTTTGCACATACAGTATTTGGATGGCAATATTGAAAAAATGTTTTACTGTAAACCATATTCTAAAACAATACTTTGCTACATGAAACATGAACATTATATACCATTCTGAAACCATAATGAATAAAACAACATTTGGTTACATAATAATTTGACATTTGAAACTGAATTTTTTCAATTTCATTTAATTTTTTTCTGTGCATGGTATTATGTTGATCCATTAGGGGAAAATAGGAGCATTTAACATGAAGATTATGCACAAAAATTATTGAGTGTGTTTGAGGAAGTTTAGGGGCACTGTCACTTCTTTAGCTATAGATAAATGCAGTCATTTATATGTAAGGAAATCAAATCCAGCCAAGATATCAAATCTACAATGCTCTTCACAAAAAAATATATAACCACAAATATACAATGTCAGGAAATTATAATGGTTTAATAATATAAGGTGGTATGTACATACAGTAGTTTAATCTTTGACATATATTACAAAATTAACATGCTATGTAATGCAATACCAACTCATTTGTTGCCGAAATCTTTGAACTCATTTTTCAGCAAATGATATTGATGGCTGGGAAAATACATGTAACATTTCATCATACAATTCTTCTTCTATTTCCTGTTCATCTTGAAAAAAAGTTGGGAATGGGGGAGGATTTTCTGTGGTGTGTCTTCGAGTAGGAATAATTGTATCATAGATGAACACATAGGAACCAGTTGCACCCGGGACGGCAGGCCCTTGAACCCACATAACATTGTAGTGTGTATTGATGCGCCATATCTGTAAAAATAAATGTCATTTATGCTATGCACAAATATTTGGTGTAACATGTTTCCCTTTTACTACCTATACCTACCTATATGTGAATTTTGCTAGAACACCCCAATGCTGAAGCATTTTGAAATTTTGTTCATTCAAAAGTGGCCCTATTGTCAACACGAACACAATAATGTCAAATAATCCACAAACAATCTGCTTACTAAAGCATTGGGAGACATGGCGAGGTAGAGGCAGACTAATTGCCCTTCAAAAAGTGGTTCTGTGGGCACTGAAGGACTGCTTAAATTGTCATAACATGGTCACAGTCCAAGAAATATGTTAAGAGATGGTAACTATACAAAAGTTGACACTCTTAATAAGACAAGTTGTCCTCTGGGGCAAAATAAGGTACAGACATTGAAACCTGACTGATACCAGACCTGAATCTCTTGAGCCAAGATGAAAACCTCAACCCATCCTCCGAATTGACAGTATGGTTTAATACTCAGTGTAATAAGTACATTTCCTTACTGTCATACATAGTACATAATTGCACTTATGGAACCGTTACATTTACCTCCCCATTTATTCTCGTTTTCTGTTAAGACACTCAGAATTTTAGGATGAAGTTTTCAAGCTCAATTTGCTATACACAAATTTTAAATATTAGGAATTTCTTTTTCAGTTTTATTAAACAGTAGAGATTTTATACAAAATTTGAAAATATCCTGAGTTACTTTACAATTTATTGATATATTTTATTTTGTTTTATTAGTTTTATAAAACTAATATCAATATAGCTATAGATTAAGTACTACAGTAATTGTAATTAATTCAGAAGCAATAAAATGCTTATCTTCAAACACCGAGAAGGTTAGGTTGTGGTTTTCTATTCAGCTCTTCAGGTAAACTCAAATATTCACAATATATTTGACAGTACGGTTTAATACTAAGTGAAAATAAGTACAATTCCTGACTGTTATGAATAGTACATAACTGAACTTGCTTGTACTGTTACATTTATCACCCCATTTTTGGAGGACGAGCTGGAAAACTGTAAAAGGAAGTTATGTAGGTAGGAATAAACTTAATATTTGTGAGCAAGGAACCAGGGATACACCACCAATAAGACGGTGAAAATGTCACACGAGCCACAAGCTCATGAAGCCTTCTCTATAGTGGAGTCAAAGCACAATTGCTTAATTTTTTGTAGGAACATGGCTCCCTCAGATGCTAATGCCCCTAACCTCTTTTAGAGAAATCTGAAAGCAGACAAAGTAGGAGAATCCTCAGAATCAGAAAATGTCATCACAAGGTGATTCACAAGCAGTAAAGTAGCCCAAAAGTAGAGACTTGTTCAAGATTTCTAGCAGATGCAACCCAATTGAAACAAGGGCAAATATGAGCATACGAATTAAGGAAACTGCAAAAGGTCTATTGGTTCATGTGAGATGGCTCCTATTTTTATCCAACAAACTTGCTCACTTATGTTAAACATACACTTTAGACAATGTAAATATCTTGTGTCTTATGTTTCCTAGTAATCTATTGCATAAGTAACCTTACAAGTAACTTATTTTTAGGCAATAGTGAGGAGGAATTGCAAAAGATTATGGATGTAATTAAGTGTAAATACAGGTTGAGAGCTACACTTATGGTGTCATGTCTTCTAGTACTCTTTTGTCATATGCTGCTTTGAAACTACTGATGTTTTTGGCATCCACCACCACCTCGGTTAACTTGCTCCAACAGTCTACCACACAGTTTACAAGAGAACTTCCTAATGTTTTGGGTTGGCATCTTAGCTTGATTCTATGCCCTCTTAATCTTGAAGCTGCAGTTTTCAAGAATTCTTCTGTCAATTTTGTTGATTCCTGATATGATTTTATATGTAGTGATCGTATCTTCTCTCTCTTCCAGCCTGGACAAATTTAACACCTCTAGCCACTCCTCATAGCTTTTTTTTTTCAGTTTCAGAAACCATTTAGTCGCTTATCTTTGCACCTTTTCCAGATGAGGTGCTTCTTGAGACAGAGGCACCATGAAACAGCTGTATATTCCAATTTTGGTCTCACAAAAATCGTGAACAATTTCTTTTAATATTTCACTATCCATGTATTTAAAAGCAATTCTGAAGTTAGAAAGTGTAACACAGGCACCTCTTGCAATGTTCCATATGTGATCCTCTGGTGACAGTTTACTAATCAGAGCATCCCCCCTAGACTTTCTTTGTTAATATTCTTTAAAGTCCTTTCACATAATAGGTAGGATTGTGTGTGGACTATTTTCTCCTATTCCATAATATGGCATTTATTCACATTGAATTCCTTCCACCAACTGTTGCTCCATATACCGAATTTGTCCAGGATTTGATAAGTGTGTGCGCAAAAGAAGGAAGTTGAAGGTCAAAGTATCAAAATTTAAGAGAATGGAATGGGATGCCATGGCTTTTATAGATTCTTATAGTAGTAAGACAGTAAGAGGTACAATGGTTTAAATGCTTATGGGCAATGTTAGATCAAATTGGAAGTATGGAAGGTGAAATAAAAGTGGGGATTATAAGAGGTGAAAAGTATGAAAGGAATGATATAAGTTAAAAGGATAACAAAAATAGTATACTACTCACAGCTTGGGTATGGGAAAAAAAAAAAGTGTGCTGAAGAGTGAATGCAATGAAAATAGGTTATTTAAGAAAAACTGTTGGTGTATGTGAAATGGCTATAACAAACACCACTACGAGAGGTGTGTTAAGAGTGAAACAAGTGTGGGAATGAAATTTGGAGTTGTGGAGTGGGTGAAACAATACAATCATCTGCATAGAGCATACAGTTCTCTATTCACATATTGTGTTAAGATGAATAAACATAGAAGAAAATATTGTTCACACAGATACCTAATAACCACCTATAGAAAGCATTCTCTCTTTTTCCAATAGATTCATTTCCACAGGCAACCAATTAGCTTATCATAGTTCTTACACATAGAAGCATATAACACACATATGAGAAAAGGTATTAAATAAGGGAAAAATATACCCTGATAATGCTTAAAAAATTACCACTAGATGCTGTACAGTTCATTCTCAAAATAAACAATCTAATCTGCACTTCTTTCCACACAGAAGATGGTTAGATATAATAGAGCAGCCTCCAATACACCTAAGAATACAAAACAGCAAAATTTTACATATTAATGTATACAATAATATAAATGAAACCAGCCTTACCTTGAGTGCTTTCAAAATTCTCCTCTCTCTGCCCATGTGCCCTGGCATCTTCTGGCCTGGGAGCACTCTGGCCTTCTCACCACCACTTCCAATATTTCCGCCTCGTCTGTGACTCTTGGTTACTCCATGTGAAGCTGGCATCCCATGGAAACCCCATCTCTTCATCACACCTTGAAAACCTCTATCAATCCTGTCAAGTCAGAAATGTATTACTTTTATTTATCTTTGCATATCTGTACCCAAAATATGAGCGAGAGATGAAAATTATAGTCTTAAAATTAATCAAGGTTCACAAAAAAATACCAGGTGATTCGTTAAAACCCATCCTGCCTGGGTTGTGACAGGAAAAAAAAAAAGCCTGCATAGGCAAGTGGTTAGCTACCATATAACCCTGAATTTAAAGCACTGCATAAGATTTAAAGGACCTGCATGTAAATGGGTCTCACATCTGCTTCCTCAGGCTTCCAGTAAACAGACACCATCTTGGGGAAAAAATAGTGGGTACCCCACGGCCTGACAGCTGAGTGGACAGCACTTCGGATTTGTAGTCCTGAGGTTCCAGATTCGATCCCCGGTGGAGGTGGAAACAAATGGGCAGTTTCTTTCACCCTGATGCCCCTGTTTACCTAGCAGTAAATAGGTACCTGGGAGTTAGACAGCTGCTACCTGGGGGTGTGTAACAAAAAGGAGGCTTGATCGAGGACCGGGCTGCGGGGACACTAAGCCCCGAAATCATCTCAAGATCTCTCAAGATAACCCCTCCTGGAAGTCGGCCTCATTATTGAGAGGGCCGACTCCCTATTAAGAACCAAAGCAGATTGAGCTCTAATATTTTGCAAAGTGTCATTTGGGGTCTAGGGCTATCTTACTACAAAATTTCATGGCATTTGGGGAGGCTCGAGTGGGAGCCATAGGTGACTTTTTGGTGATTTGAGATGGAATGACCCTATTGACAGAGCTTGGGTGCATGGGGATATTGGTTTGTGTCTCGGAGAGACTGCAGGATCCGTGGTAGGTCAAGTTGATTTCCTGGTTGCAATTCTTATACCATGTCGTAGCTCAGTCGATTAAGGCGCATCTGGGATCCTCTCAGACGCAGGTTTAAACCCTCGTCATGGCCCATGTGGATTTATTCATTTGACACATCACGCTATTGTGATTTTTGTGTGTAGTAAGGGCGAAGTTTTTTTTTTGGAGTATAGAGGAAGGAGAGGCATAGGTGAAGGGAAATTTAGAAGTGGAAAATACAGTGAGAGGTATGAAAGCAGGCGGGCTGTCTGCCTTGCTGACATGTTGTGTGGGTGTTGGCAGCTAAGCTAAGCTTGCTCTCTCTTGTCAGGGAGCTGTGAGTGTGTGAGAGGTTCTTCACATGTGTTTCACCATATATGGATGTCTATAGATGAATACTGTGTAGCATTCATATACACACACTCCGATGCTTCCACACATGTTTTGTTCAAGGCTATTTATTTTATTATTATTATTTATTGATTTATTCATACATGTATATTTATGTACATATACACATTTATATACATACACACAAGATGAGGAACTTCCTCAGGGGAATACCATGGGAAACAGAACTTAAGAGACAAGAATGTGCAGGACATGATGGATTTTGTCACCCAGAAGATTTTGTTTGAGCATTCCAATATTTCACACACATTATACAAGTTTCATAAAGGACACTACTGTATAAGTTTACTGTAAAAAAAAATCAGAGAAAAACAGATTGAACACATTGAAGTAAATATCTAAAAATATCTTCGCTGCAACTCCTGTTCCATGGCGGGGCCAGGTCAACTGCCATAGGGCAAATGTTGCATGAATGCTCATAAATTGCAAGATTTCTGGCTTCACCACAGCCAATCGCATTTTAATATTAGAGAGAATTTTGGTTTTTTTCTTGGGGGGTATTGTCAGCTATAAACAGTGGTGCAGTATTGGGGTTAAGGAACTTCATACCTCTAATGAAGATGCTACACTCCACAAAACTATACTACACTCACCAAGGGGAAATTCAAAAGAGGGACCAATACAAGAAACCAAGACACAATCAAACTTACGTGATACCAGCAACATCAACATAATGACCTGGCTTGAAGTGAGATGCGTACAGAGGAGTGCCCGGAGCTAATTTGGCATCAGGTGTGATAATAAATTTACTTATTTTTTTCTTTGGCAGAATCCCAGCATCAGAAAACATATTGAAATACTCCTTTGAAACCTGAAATGTAAATAATTAATATCAGCAATACATAGGAGTTATAAAATTATGGGAGCTCTAAGTGGTAAGGTGAAAATACAGTAGGCCCCGAGAATGACTAGTAAAAATGGTTTTGTAGAAATAAATGACAGTAGATCAAAAGAATTATATAGTGAAAGAACTACTATGTTTTTCTATTACATATCTTAAGCATAAGGCTATAAATGTACACAATGCATAATAGAGGGTAGAAGTGTACCATGCGCTTGATAGATGTGTGCAAAAAGTTTTGAGAGCTATGCGAGTACCAAGAAGAAGGAGAAAAAATAGAGAGAGAGAGAGAGAGAGAGATGCAGGCAGGCAGGCAGGCAGGCAGGGGGGGGGGGGGGGAATTTAAATTCAACACCAGCACTGAAACATTCATCAATGGACTCTACCTCAACATACTTACGTCATTGGTCCACAGACATATGGCCAATGACGTAAGAACAGCTGTCCCAGAAGCTTAAAATTATGATAAATTAATTACAGTACAATGTTTACTGTGTTTACTTTTCAGAAAGAGAAAAGTGATAAAAAATGTTACAAGAGACTATTAATAAATATCAACCAAGTTAAAAATATAGGCTGAAACACACATGCCAAGTGCATTTTGTTATATTCATCTCTCATATATTATGAAGCAGAAAATCACTACAATACTTTAAGCAAATGTATATGTTAATTACAGAAAACAGATTTGTTTAACTTACCGTTCTGGGATCAGCTGAATCTGCCCCAACAATTAGAGCCCCAACTTCTCTATACCGTTTTCTAACTCTAAATTCACTTAACTTTTCAGGTGGTATGTATTTAATCACATGATTGTCCGATACCTAGAAAGTTCACATAAATTAGTTTTGAGTAAATGGTGCATATTGCTGGCTATACCAAGTACTGATAAAGAACATGGTATGAAATAAGACCAGTTATTTATTCATAAGCAAACATCTTTATCCTGTATATATTAAGAAATCATTTTAAACAGCTTCCAAACATGCCCTCAAAACCCTAATAAGCTAACACATCCAATAACAAGTGCCCCTTCAAACATGTTCACATTCACTTTGTCCTTACAACATGTTTTAAGTTTTATTATGCGTTACAGACTGGCTGTCGCTGTTAACACTCCTCTTCCTGCTGTAAGAGTCATTCTTGCAATGGATATACCAGACAGCCCATGGCAACTTTAGCTAAAAGCTAGGAATTCCAAGATTCTATATTATATATTTTCTATTTTAGTGAATTTCAGGGAGATAGCCTATCTGGAGCATTTCAAATATGGCAGTGGGCAGGATCATCACTAGACAGATTTTCACACCCACCAACGCAGAGCCAAGTGTTGACTGACTGATCAGTCGACACCCTAACTGATCAGTTGGTATCAGTTCACCAATCTTGTGAGCCAACGTTACATGACTCCTGAGGAGCTGCTACGAATCTCCCACTGTGAGGAATTCCTTATTTGACATAGTTGTTATTTGTTGAAACCAGAACTTAGAGTTGAAAATTTGTTAAAATTTTCTGACAGTCAGAATTTGTTAAAACCAAGGCACCTTCAAGAGAAGATAATCACATTTCCAAGATTCAGTGGCATCTTGTCACACTTCAAGGAATGCCAGTGATTGTTGAACCACATTTTCCAGTCTAGAAGAAACTCTTGAGGAGTTTCACCAGTCTAAAAGAAACTCTTGAGGAGTAATGTGAAGAACTGTCATTCTGATCTACAAGCCTGAGGCTCAAAAGCTACATTAATGGACAGTCCATCAGTGAATTGGTTTAAAAAGTCTAGGGAATGAAGAGTGTCAGTGACACTGGTGATATTGTTAGTCATAGCCTATGATAGGGCCACAGTTTCTCCAGCAAAGAAAACCAACGTGAGATAGCCTAACAGTGAAGTAGGATCACAGTTAACCTGCAGTGACATTTCTAGTGCCTAGTGTAAAGTGGTAGTCTCTGACAGCAGCACTAATTCTCTAGAGTTAAGATGAGTCAAATGCTTGCTTACAATGAAGGTAAGGTTTAAGTTGCAGAGAGCTTTAACACTTTAGCATTCCCATGATGCTAAAATGAATTGTCTATCTCAAATTTCCCAAAAATAATTATCAATTTTCTTTTTAACACAGTGCAAGCATAGCTTATCAGGATACCAGCCAAAGTTACAAAGGTTTTAAGCCAGAAATCACATCGTCCAACTACTATCACTCAAGATTATCATTCTGCTTGAGAGTATTTTTACAATGCTTTACAAATTAACTGCCAGAAAAGTATGAAAGTTACTTTTTCTTTTTATACTTATATAGACCGATTGTGTATGTATATTCCCAGATTTTACATTTTTATGTTGAAAACAAAAAAGGAATGTTGAAAATGTATGAGGACTGTTACAATGTTCATAAGCATTTGTATATTCACCACCACCACACAATTATTGTTAAAATATTGTTTTGCATCTACAGTATACTCTTGTAAATTTAATTGCAAATATTTTGACATGAAATTTAGTTATAACCCAAAAACTAACAAATTGTATAAATATGTAAACATCTTAGGTACCACTGAGTGGGACCTTGGGATGCCTGGAACATTTACAGAAGGGTACGTGCCGATGGGTCAGAATGGTAAAAGTGTTAATTAGTGGTAGTAGCTCAAGTACTACTGGGAGCATATATACTGTACGGTGAATACAGCTCCTCTATACCCAGTCGCCAAGGATTGTAACTGCATATTCTGGACCAGGCATGGATAGACACAAAAAGAAAACTTCAGTGTCAACATATGAAACTTGGAGTGCTAAGAGGAATCAACAATTACCTCAGAACCAGGAAACTCTAATTGGTTAGACATCAACAACATTCCACAATGAGTGATGTCAGACCCAAGTGGCATTTGCAAGATGGGAATGCCCTATGGTTGTTATAACAATGGGATTTAAAAATGTTGTCTATAGCGGCTACCCCACTCTTAATTTATACAAGAGTATACGGACAATGAGGCAAGTGTGTGTGTATTGCTGTGAATTAATATTGCTGTATACCATTTATTATTACAGTATTACAAATAGTGAAAGTGAAGGAAAAAAGAATTATTTTTGCTTCTTTAAGAATAATTTTATGGTTTATCAGATCTACTTTACTAAAGAGAATTGTTGCCCTATACTGTCTATAGAATCTATAATTACTCCTATTAGGCATCTCTCTCTCTTTGATAGTTGAGCAGTTGTATACAATTCAACTCTTATTAAAATCCCTCCAATAATTAAAATCCAAACAATGGTTAGCAATGACATTCTTATAAAAAAAATGTTGCTTTTCTGAGAAAATAATGAAAGTGCATGTGAAAGATGAAACAAAAGGTGAAAAGGATTTTACATTGTTTCATTGATCCAGGCTATGAAGTTTAGGGTCACCCAGCTTATCTACCAGGAAAAGTGACCGAGGTGCCAGATGCTCCAAAGTAAAATTACCGAGCCATCCAAGTGAAGTGATAAGGAATTTAAAATGTTATTTGCAGAGTATCTGGGTGATACTTGTTTATATATATATATGTATCCTGCATGTCATGACAAGACTAGGTGAACTGTCTGGGGGAGTGTTATTGGTGAACACGAGCCAAAAGGACCTAACGATGATTGATAGATATGAGCTATTCAATGAACTCACTGATCAGTATTCATTATTTTTGAGCGATTAACCGTGTGCTGATTTATTGAACTTGTGATTTTTTTTTTACTTAGGGCAGGACTATTTATTCTTTTACATTAACTGCTCTTGTTTTACAACTCTGAAGGTTATCTTACCTCTGTGGATTTTAAATATAACGAGAGAAAAGTAAAAGCCCTTGACCATTTCTCCAGAATTTGTAAATATTAACAAAGGGAAGGATCAAATTAGATGCTGAGGAGAGATTGCCTAAGTATATACTGTACAGCAGAGAGGAATTCTACACCATTAATGTTGAAGAACGTAACATATGGCAGTAGGTGCACTCATGTAGGTACCTATACAGGTAACCTACAATACTATATTCAAAATGTGTGAGGCTTGACCTGGTGACTTCAGGTAATACTAGCACTGGTGAAGTGCCAGCAAGTGTGTTTACTAGTAGAGTACTACAATTTACATGCAATAAAAATACAATTATAGAAGAAAAACATAACTAAAGTACAGTTTTCACAATTTTAAGCTTAACAGCTCAATTATAGTTAAATCACATTTTCCAAAGTATAATCCAAATGCACTTTTCTAATAGGGAAGAGAGAGATTTGCTTTGAGAAGTTATTGTGGCAATTTTCTTGGCTGCCTAAATTCCAACTTGTTTCATTATTACACATGATAATTGTAATAATTACAATTATTTAGAGTCCTGGCAGTACAGTCGGGTTTGTTCTCAACTCACAATTGAGAATGCTGGGTTCGAATCCCTAGTGAAATAAATGATTGGGCGCAATTCCTATAACCTAATGCTCTGTTCACCTAGTAGTAAATATGTACCTAGGAGATAGTCAGCTTGTTATGGGGATGCATCCTCGAAAGGGACAAATTTGACCTTGGGTGGGAGGGACTTCGACATAAGCCTAACATACTGTATACACAGTATATACACAGGTTGCCTGCCCTCTGACAATGAATTATCATTTTGAGCATACCTGTAATAATGTTGTTAAGTGCCTTGTTCCATCTTTGGTCCACAAAGGGTATATGCCAAGCTTTCGTGCAATGACTCCACATCTAAGAGATTTTGGAGTCCAAACTCCTCTTTCCCATGGGTCTGTCTTCAACGGTGAAGAATACTGGTCTGCAATAACTTCACTCACAAATGCTTCATTTTCTGAAGTCAACTCTTCAGGGTACATCTAAGAAGTAAAAATGTAGTATTAGCAGATATTTGTTAAATTATTTTTAGTACATTCATCATACATGTACTAATTTGATAATTTATTTGATCCCAAAACATTTAAATGTACAGGATACACTTATGGTTTTCAGTAGTCAAAAAGAACAATAATTCAACTCTTTTAAAAAGAAGTTTTCCTGCCATGCTGAAAAAATGGTGGTAGATAAATGGTGCAATAGCTGCTTTATCTGTATGAATTTGGGGTTTAAATGTGTTTGACTTTTAGATCCGATTCTAAATTATTGTGTGGCCTCTCCTAATTGCCAATATACACATCACTGAGCTATTGGAACCAAATGGGTAAAATTGGTACAGGTATTAAAAAATGACAAAGCATAAATCACCACATGTTATCAGCCACACTTTGAGTATTAATAATGTTGGCAACCATAAGCCTCAAATGTAAGGTTATATAATTTTTCTTCCAAAATTTCAGAGGGGGCAATAGCCATTTCATACCCGCCTGTGGCTGTGTTATGTAGTGGTTAAAGCACACACCTGATTGTTTTGCAAATGAGATGACCTGAGTTTGAATTATGCACAGGTTGCAATGACTAGGCACCATTCCATCAAGCTGATGACTTTGATAAGTACAGTGTAAAAAAATTAGGAAAAAAAAACAAAATTAAGTTTTAAACTAACCACTCTTGTAGCTTTAGGCAACCAGAATGGGGGTACAGTATGCCTCCGCTTTACTCTTGACATACATCGCACCTGTGTTGTCCACAA